CACAAGGGATTTAACTGCAAGGAGGAGATGACAACTGATGGTGGTAAACTATTGCTTTGTGCAGAAAAGGACTATGGTTCCCACAAATGACAAAAAAATGATGCGTGTTAGAAGAATCACAAAGGTAGAGTAATGAATATTTATCTTAGCATTTTATGAGAATCCAACACACATTCAGATAGAATAAAACAACCAGTAGAGACCTCAGTTAGAACAAAAATTGTGCAGAAGGTTGCTCTTTACATGGAAAACCCAGAAAGTATAAAATCACGGAGTCTACCACAGTCAGAACAATCTATTATGAATTGGTAATTACAAAGGTCCTCGTTCTACAGACGGGAAATGATTACATAGTTATTTAAGGTGCAATATTTGTTGAATAGTGGCAGCCAATGGTTGCGACTAGGAACAGTTATAAAAATCCATACACTATCTTCGGGTGCATGGTTGTACGACATACTTGACACACTACTCCGTTGAGTGCTTCACTGTCCCACAACACACACACTAGGACTCCACAGCGCACTGTGGGATTCTCTAGCGCATGTTGTGACTTCACAAGGGATTTAATTGCAAAGAGTAGATGACAATCGATGGTGATAGACTATGGCTGACGAGTGGTGGTCGGTGGCTGTAGGTGCAAGAGGAGTTTATCAAATCGTTGGTGCATAAACGATGTTGGCTTCAACTCCTTCTCCAAGCGTTGGCCTTCTCTGGTTCAACATCCAGGTCTCCGTTCAAGAGGCAGAGACCTTTATTTATAAAGCTCAGGTTGCAAATAAGGAATAAATTCAAACTACCATGATTGAACAACTTGAGGAGGTTACCTCGATCAAATGGTGTTCTATGGACATTTAAGCGTCATAATGATGTTGGAACTGAGTGACCTTAGGTTCCTTGGATTCCTCTTGTCGAGACACTCAATTTGAATATATGCATACCAGGTTTGAAATTTTCTTAACCTTCTTATTTTGCATTGAAAGCTTCCAAAAATGGTTTTACGCAAATTTGACCAATTTTAGCATCATTTGATTTGAGCCATTTAGTTTGATTATGAGTTTGATGAAATCAAAGTTCTGGATGATTGTCAATCAAAATTTGACATTTGTTGTTAAAAAATTGCTTTGAGATTTGTGCTAAGAGATTATATGTGCAAAATGAAAAATTTGTTGATGATATATCAAATATGAATAAATATTATTTTTAAATCCTTAATTAATTAAACTTAAGTACAACATGATTTGATGAAATTCTATATAGAGTCAGATATTACTTAACATAAAGCAACACGCAATTAAATTAAATTAAAATTAATTTGTTGTTGATAATTTCTTTAATGCTCTACTAAATACACTTGAAATACATAGATAATAAGGTTTTAGATGAGTTGTGTTCAGTATCAATCTGTTTAAATTTATTAATTTATATATATTTTTTTAATTTTGGATTTGTTTTAATAGTTTTAGAATGTTGTTCAAACATCAGTTAGCATTGTTTTATGGAATTTGAGCTACAAGTAGCAAGTGCTCAGACAGGAGAAAGTTCAAGAGAAAGAAATCGACCCAGACCTTTGCAGCTCATATTTAAAAAAGTGTCAGCAGAAATCTAGGAAGTGTCGGATCCATCATTAATCATGAGGAATACCAAAGTACTAATTGCTCACCAATTGAATTCAATTTCACACTCTTTTTATAACTTGCTTACAAAAAATTAAGAGAATCAGCAAATTAAATATGTATATCAACAAATCCAGCAGGCCAAGTTAGACCCATCAACTTGCAAGGTCGGTTTTGCGGGTCAATTTATACCGGATACACTTAGATGCTAACTTAGCAAAACCTAGAGATATAGTATCGACAAATTATCAACTCATCGCGGGTCACGACAACCTGCCAGAGCAATTTGATATTTCGCCCGACGACAAACCCGAGAGTTCGCCTGACAATCGGCTCGGAACCAATTCACAACTAATTCAACCTCTCATAATAGTTCGACAAACCGCAAAATTCCAAATCTCACCGCATAAAAGCATCATCAATATATTAGATAATAAGTCAACCCCACATGTGTAAATAGGGAGTCCGATGCTCAAACGTGTTTTGGAAGTCAAATGCTAGGTTCCTTAGTCTCGGCTTTCGTTCTTTGCTTTGAATCCTCGTCCGTGGGATAATTTTAAGAAAAAAAATATAGCATTATAAGCCGAAATCATATGCTTGATTATATTATTTTCATATTAAAATTAATAGAAGAAAATGAAGATAATTTTGTTGACAAAATATTAATAATAAATTTTAAAGATATTTATATAGTTGATGAAGACTCGTGCTGATTCATGAGTGCTATAAAATTTACGACGGTTGAGTAATGGATTATCGTCTTAGCGCTGCACAAAAATTTATCATAGACTCAAATAAAAGAAAACAATCAATAATGACACTGGGAGTTTTTGCGTAGAAAACTCGTAAATGGGTAATACCATGAGGTCTTACCCAGTTGTAAAAATCGACTATAAGTTAATGATTACACAGACTCCTTGTCTTGCATACGAGAAAAAGTTTCAAAGTCTTTCGAATTACAACATCATCGTGCGAATGAACTTGTTGTAAGAAGTGAGCGGCCTCCGATGACGATGGATGGAGGCTAAGCAGTTAGTGGTCGAAGGCGGTCGATGGTGGGCAATGATGATCGGTGATGATCGAGAGCAATCAACGATGTTCAATGGCGGACTGGGGCGATCAACAGTGGCAAGAGTGATGTTGAACTTTAACTCTTTCTGAAAGCCCCAAGTTCTTTCGCAAGGGTCAAAGACTCCTTCCCCTCATGAGAGTGACAGGGCTCTATTTAAAGTGTTTTGGGTGCAATTAATGCAGAAATATGAACCACTTTGATCGGACGATCCAGAGAGTTTTTTTCGATCAGACGACGTTTGATAGACATTTGAGTGCCTTAATCACATTGGAATTAAGTGATCTTGGACTTGGTGGGTTCCGCTTACTGAGATGCTCGATTCAACTTTGAGCTTGTCGGATTCGACATCATTTGACATTTTAAATGCATTCGAAAATCTTCCAAGAGTGATTTAATGACTTGATCTGAGCTTGATTTGACTCGGATCAGATAAATTTTGATATTATTGTGTCTGTCTAATCGAGTTGGTCAATTGACTATAAGTTTGTTGAAATCGAAATCGGGATGACACTTAATTCAAGTTAGATTATTCTTGCTCAAAAGATTGTCTTGAGATTCGTGTCATACCTCGAGACAAAAGTTAAAAATATGTTGGTGACGTATTGCTCATGTAATAATAATAATAATAATAATAAAACAGAGACGTATTGCTCATGTAATAATAATAATAATAATAAAACAGAAGTACTTTTTTTATTATTTTATATTATGATTTTCAAATATTAGAATTAGAAAATGAAAGGAGCCCCTGACCTCTCTCTTGCGTAAGCTTTCTTCATAACTTGCTTTTGAAATGTTTGCTTGCTCATATTATATACGACGAATTATGAGACATGTTCTCATTTTGATCTAAATAAAATTCAAGTGAAACTTTTTTTTTCGATTTTTTTTTATAGTTTAGAAAAAAAAAATCATATGAGATAGTTCGATGTGAATATGATAATCTAATTGAAAAAAATATATTTGGATATTTTGATCTATTTTGTGTTAAGATGACATTAGTTTCGTTAAATATATGTCATTGAATATTTAGATAATATAATAGTTTTTAATATATATATATGATTAAATTATTAGGTATCTATAATATTTATTTGTCATGTTAGGTATGACTCATATACCATATAAGGGACATATGATGGTTTAGAGTTTTCTTATGTGGGTTGGGAGTCCGGTATATGGGTAATTTGGTAATTATATATTGTACTCAAAGTTTCTTTTATGTTCTTTTTAGTGTTATAAATAAGCATGTTTGTAACCCTAGGTTATTCTATTCTAAATCTTGTACTATTTTTTCTAGATTAGTAGAAAAGCCGCCACTTTGCTCCCGAGAACATATACATATTTGTCGAACCTCGTTAAATCTTTTTGTTATTCTGGATTTGTGCCGATTCCTGTTTTTTTCGCCCTAATTTTTCAACATATCATGATTATGTTTGTGACTGCCGAATATTTTTCAATATTTATTTAGTAATTTAGTGGTATTGAAAAATGATCAATTAATGATAAAAGATAAAAAAATTGGCTTGAATTTTATAGGTATGAATTTAGCAAATTTAGCTCGAAATCATTAATCGCTCGAAATTGAATCGAACTTTGGCTCGAATCGAGATCAGATAGAAAAAAAATGAATCATGTTATGCGATAAAATTTTAGATCAAATTTATTTCGAGCCAATTTTATATCGACTCTAGCTTGATTTGAAATCTAATTGTTAGACACATATTTTTTATTTATACTTTTATAAATTCTTTTGACAGATAAGTTGTACTATCATTAAATATTTAATTCTAATGGAAAGCAACTGGAAATGAGAGGAGCACGTTGCTTCGGTCTTCCCCTAATATCTTTCAAATCTAATGAAATTTATTCTCCTATTATTCCCTTTTGCGGGACGATTGTCGGCCCATGAAATAAGCAATGTGATTTCGACTCGTCACCCACAGACTCGAGAAATTATTTTGTACGGACACCACATGCAGAGATGTATGCGGTGTTCGATCTCCACCGTCGATCACCGCAATCAATTTTTTTTTTTAAAAAAAAATTATGAAAGTGGGGCCCACCGAAATACATCTTTGCGGTGATTGACGGTGAAGATCAGATACCGCATGGATCTCTGCATGCGGTATCCGTGTAGAATAATTTTTCCATAGACCCCATGTTATATTTAGCACTGTATTAACATAATAAAAGACAAAATAAAATATATATTAGCACTGTTTTAACATAAAAGAGATTTTCGTCCAAAAAAAATAAAAAAATTAATCACTTTATTTCATTATTTATTAGAAAACGGAATACAGAAGAAATTATTCAAGTAAAGCCATTGACCTCAGAGTCAACTTTGACGTCTAGGGTTTACTTGTTCGAAATGATCACATCCACCTCAAAAATGATTATACCGCTAGATGGATCAGTGGTGTTTAGGCGCGTCACCACGGCGGTCCCGTGGGCATTGCTGAAGAGTCCGGTTCCTCCGAACACCGGTAACTCCTTCACTGCCTTCTGGGTTGGGTTCCTCCCAACCACCGTCAGATAGCTACCTATCAATGATTAAAAACATATATAAAGATTTATTCATAAAATATTTCGAGCTAGAACATAACAAAATGATTCAATTTGAGCCAACTAGTTTCAATTTCGAACCGGATCAGCAGATTCCGAGTTGAAACGGATCCAAATAACTCAATTTGAGTCGGCACTTTTCGATTTTGAGCCAGACCAAGCTCGATTCAATTTTGAGCTTGCTCGGCTCAGAATCAAATATGACTAGCCACGAGTCAATTTCGAGTCACACCAAATCTACTCAAGGTGATTTCGAGCCGACCTAAGCTCAGCTCGAAATCAGATCGCTAACAACTTTAATTACCTGTCCATGGATCAAAATTGGTGAACACCACGTTGAACGTGTATAGCCCATCAAAACCATCAAGCGATGCGATTACGAGCGTGCCTTGCACACGTCCGAGGATACGAGATGTGGTGTTGAGGTCTGGCGTGATAGGGTCATCAAAGACAAAAATGTTGCCGAAAGTATAGGTCGGGTCGGTTTGGTTGAGGGGGCTCGACACGACTTTGATGGCAGTGGCATTCGGCGGTAGCGTCCTTTCTCGATAATAGAAATGAAGGCGAGTCTCACTTCCAAATGCTTGTGCGGTTTGAGTGATTTGTAAGGCCAAGAAAATGGTGATGGCTAAGAGTATTGGAAGAGGGGAGGAGGAGAAAGCCATTGGAGAAAGGAAGAAGGAAGAGGGAAATGTATTGTCATTTGAGATGATGAGGTTGTAATTTATAGGTGGGATTGGTTACATGTCCTTTTCTAGAAGGCAGGTGATTTTATTGATTATTGTGCATTATTTGATCTATTTATTGAAGAAGTCATGGACTTTCCATACAAACTTCAAATACATTGACAGATTCAGAGAAAAAGATTGGAAAAATTGATATGGAGATTCAATATTTGTGGCTAGAAATTTCTTAGAAGGGGGCATAAAAGTACTTATTTATTTTTAAATCTTCTCAACAATTTTTTTTTTTTGGGTTGAGACAAGTGTTGGCAATTTTAAATTTTGTTTGTTATAAGGTGTTAAATATAAGAAAATAAATATATAATAATTAAAAAAAACTATAGCTTGATTGATTTCTTTTTGGTTGATAATATAAGAAAATAAATATATAATAATTAAAAAAAAAAGTTATAGCTTGATTGATTTCTTTTTGGTTGATGTGAACCCTTGTGACTTGGGGGGTGTGAGCAAGTTGAGTCGAGTTATACCGGTTGTGACTTGGGGGGTGTGAGCAAGTTGAGTCGAGTCGAGCTTGGGCTATGTTCTCGGTTTAAGTTTGTGTTTGATTATTTAAGCGAGTTTGTGCACGAGCTCGGGCTTAATTTTATGGGTTTGAGCAGGCTCACGAGCCATCTTGTGTAATAAACAAAAGAGATAAAAAATATTAATTTAAGCTTGTGTTATAGGATGAGTAGAATATGATAATAATTTACTTGTTATAAAATGTAATATATTATTTTTTAAAAATATTTAATAATTTAAGAAAAAAATTTGAATTTTAGTATGTTTTGAATATATTTTTTGAATATCATTTAAATGAGTCAGTTCAGAAGCTAATGAGTTAGTCAGGGTGGGCTTGAGCAAGAATACTTAGCTCATTGAGCTCAGTTCACTAGACGCTTATCAAGCCAAGCGTATAAGAGAAAATATTATGTGTGGAAAATGATGTGGATAGATAGTATTATGGTTAGGGATGTAAAAAAAGCTCATTGTTCATGAACAACTTGTGTTTGGCTCATTAAATAGCACGTGTTCGGCTCTTTTGTTAAGTAAACGAGCTGAACACAAACAAATTTTTAAAACTTGAATTATAATTAGCTGAACATGAACAACACTTTGTTCACTCGTGTTCAATTCATTTTAGCTCAAACAAAAAAATATATAATTATTTATATAAAAATATATTATATATATTTATATCTAAGTTTAAATTGTAGTAGCTCATTTGGTAATTTGCTTATTGTTGTGATATATACCAGTTGTTGTGGTATATATATATAAATAAAATATGAGAACGACCTTTGACGAAGCGAAAAATAGAACGATAAAATTTACACCAGAAAACAATAACACAGTGGAACACACAGATTTACGTGGTTCGGCAAGTTGCCTACATCCACAGAGTTACAGAGGATTTATTACTTGAGGAATTTACATCAGTTGATCACCTCGACTTGCAAGAGGAATCTCTCACTTCGTTGCTCTCTCTTCTTCTCTCTCTATTTTTCTCTCTCTACACCGAGATATACCGGAGAAGATAAACCTACAAGAGAAATAAACTCAATTTCTCTTCTGCCACAAGCCACCAAGAACAAGCCAAGGGAGAACAATCTTCTTCTTCTTCCTTCTTCCTTCTATCGCAAGGAACTACTGCTTGCACTTTTCTTCCTCTTTCTTCTTTCTTCTTTCTTCTTTCTTCTTTCTTCTGCCGTTTCTTCTTTCTTCTTTCTTCTTTCTTCTTTCTTCCGCCA